AACCTGTGATTCAGAGGAGAGTTCTGAGCTGAAGATAGGAATCTGTACCTTATTTGCATATAGCTAATAACCTATGCCCTGAGCCAGGAATGAGATTTCCTAGGAGGAAAATAGGGTGTGAAAAAAAGTCCTTGGCTAGAGCTTTGAAGAATTCCACCATTTAATAGCTGGGGAGCAGATAATAAATCCTGCTGAGGAAATAAGGTTAGTGTGGTAAGAGATACAAGTAGAAAAATTTGGAGAGTTGTATCACAGAGAAAGGGCTGAGAGTGTTTCATGGAGAATCTTATCAATGTAGTGAGATTCTGTTAAGAGGTCAAGTAAGAAAGAAGAGGATCAAGAGCTCTCCTTTGGGTGTCATAGCATGGAGGTCACTGAGCACCTGGCAGTGGCTGTGAGGTGGGGAGATGAGGCAGGAGCCAGCAGTCAGCTGGGAAGTGAGTGGAAGGGAAGAGGTGGAAAACAGCAGGAGCACAGCGCTTTGCAGAATTTGGGCAGTAAAAGGCAGGAGAGAGAGTGATGACTGGAGTGAGATATCTTTGTTTTGTTTTTTAATGGCAGTTATGTATGCGTGATTTTTCAGCTAGTGGATAGGATCCAACGGGAAAGGAGAAGTTGAGATATATGAGAAAGGAGAGTATGGTGGGTAGTAAACTTCCTAAGAAAGTGAGAGGGTGGGAATTAATTCAAGAAATAGTTGCAGGCCTTGAAACATAGGAACAGCCCTTCTCCTATACCCAAAGGAAAGACTGTGGTTGTGTACAGATATACGTAGGCATGCAGTTCGGTGGACAGGTGAGGAGGGAATTCTCGTCTGAATGTTTGTATTTCCTCTGTGTGTAAGAGATATAGCCATCTTCTAGTGGGAAGGTATGGATGTCCAGGGTTTCAGGGTAGAAAAAATTGTTTGAAGAAGCTTTTGTGGAAAATGGAAGGACTGGGTAACTGGAGTTGTGGTAAGATTGTCAGGCGGTGCTGAAGGCCTAGTTGGGTTTGCTGATTATGAATTTACAGTGTTACTCTGCCACGTGTTTTATTTCTCAAGCAGTGCTCAGCTCCCTGGGTTGAGGCACAGAGAAGAGCAACCATATAGTTCAGCTAAGGTAGAGTGGAGGAGATGGGCTTTGGAAAGGAAGAGTCGAAGAATCAGAACCTTGGTGGTACACGTGCCAGCCTTATGAAGGTCGAAATTACCCAGGGTGGGGGCAGAGGTCAGGAAGAAAGGAAGACCTTGAACCCTGTAGAAAAATCTTCTATAAGAGAAGGGAGAAGCTGATCAAATTGATAGATAGCAAATTCAACCAGAAAGATCTAATATAGCTGAATTGGACGAATTTTTAAAAAGGAGGGTTTTGTTTTTAGCAAGATCATGGAGGAAAAAGGCCGTCAAGAAGCAATAGGGAGCCAGGAAAGAAACCCTAAACCCTGACTCTGAGGTTCACGGGCAGGGGAGGAGGGATGAATAAACAGCCACCACCTGAGAGGGCTGCGAGGGAAGCAGTATCCTCAGGGGAAGCTAGTTTGCAGGTGAAGCAAGGGCGTGAAGAAGCTTTTGTGGAAAATGGAAGGACTGGGTAACTGGAGTTGTGGTAAGATTGTCAGGTGGTGCTGAAGGCCTAGTTGGGTTTGCTGATTATGAATTTATGGTGTTACTCTGCCACGTGTTTTATTTCTCAAGCAGTGCTCAGCTCCCTGGGTTGAGGCACAGAGAAGAGCAAGGCTCTGTGTAGCTAAGGTAGAGTGGAGGAGATGGGCTTTGGAAAGGAAGAGTTGAAGAATCAGAACCTTGGTGGTACACGCGCCAGCCTTGTGAAGGTCGAAATTACCCAGGATGGGGGCAGAGTTCAGGAAGAAAGGAAGACCTTGAACCCTGCAGAAAAATCTTCTATAAGAGAAGGGAGAAGCTGAGCAAATTGATAGATGGCAAATTCAACCAGAAAGATCTAACATAGCTGAATTGGCCGAATTTCAAAAAAGGAGGGTTTTGTTTTTAGCAAGATGGTGGAGGAAAAAATGCCCTCAAGAAGCGATAGGGAGCCAGGAAAGAAACCCTAAACCCTGACTCTGAGGTTCACGGGCAGGGGAGGAGGGATGAATAAACAGCCACCACCTGAGAAGGCTGCAAGGGAAGCAGTATCCTCAGGGGAAGCTAGTTTGCAGGTGAAGCAAGGGCAAGGGTGTTTGCAAAGCCTAGGTGCAGAGAACACAGTTGAGAATGTGTGGTTTTAGCCCTAGGCAAGGCTTTCTGTAATATGGAATTCCAAATTGCCAGTGCCCCATTTCTTCCAATGTGCAAGAGCTGCTTTGAAGCACGTTCTACTTTGACTGCCCAAGATAAATGCTTTAGAGATCAGTGGAGAAAAAAGATTATGGATATCTGGCCACACTGTTAATTAATTGCTATGGGGGAGGTTGTTCAATTCTTATCCCAGCCACAAGTAAAATGAATAGCTAGGGAGTGCTGCAGAAGAATGGATTCTTTTTTTTTTTTTTTTTTCCTGTACAAGAATGGCAACTCAAAGTATGAAAGCCAAAGAAAAATTAATAGAATTAATCAGCTTAACCTTGATTTACAAGATTCTGAAGGAGGACAATGGGAGCTCTCTGATAAGGGGTAGTATCATTCCTGTAGGCAACGAGAAGATCTCCTGACTTCTCGTTGTGAAAAGCAAGAGCTTCCTTGACAAGTGTGTTTATCAAGTACATCTGCGGTGTTATTTTGTATGCTCAGTTGCAGCCTCTGTCATTCTTCTCATGCTCATTTAACACGATGGGCTTGTGTGGTGAATCCTTCAGGTGATGGGAGGACAGGAAGAGGAGGAAGCTTATTCTGGATCATAAAATAAAAGATATTGGCCTCTGTCACCCACTCCAGCTCATCTTTTTCCTCATCCTTCCTGATCATCTGATATTTGTAGTAAAGAAAATGAATGTCTAGATGATATAATCTTGTGTCTGATTACTTGCTCAGAGGACCATGGGAAAAAAAAATTGTAGTACAACTGTCTGGTTTAACTTGAATTCTCCATTAGGGAAGAAAAAAGTTTTGTAAGTTCTTTAGCCTGCATCTCACAAATTTTATCTTGTCCTACTGAATAAGATAGTTCAGAGGCATCTTTCTCATCCAGCCTGGTATTGTTTATTCTCATTTTGCAGAACATACAACTGAGATTCAGAAATGTTAAATGAGCAGCCCGAGATCACACAGCAAATTAGTAGCAGAGCCCAAATTCTGGGCTGCATATATCTCCAGGTGCCACATTCTTTACCAGAATCCTCTAGAGCAGCACTGTGCACCAAATACAGTGAGAGCCACATGGGAAATTTTTAATTTTCTAGTACCTACAGTAAAAAAAAAAAAAAAAAAAAAAAAAAGAAATTAATTTTAATAACTTATTTAACCCAGTATATCCAGAATACTGTCATTTCAACATATGAGCACTATTAAAAAAAAATTATTACTGAGATATTTTCCTTTTTTTTTTTTTAAATGTATACTAAACCTCCAGAATCCAGTGTGTCTTTTACACTTAACAGCACATCTCAGTTTAGGCTAACCACAGGCGACTACTCTGGCACAGCTCAGCTGTGGATTGCATTTATGGAAACAGCTCTTCATCACAGAGGGTTTTTTGAGTTTACTACAGGTTTTACTTTGAGATGAGTGAAAAGAGGCCTTCCTATTGGTGCCTCTGTTGGTCTCTGCCATGCCATGTGCTGCAGGGTTGATAATGACCTTCTCCTTATCCCATTGTCTTGTGTGGCCACTTTCTCTTTTAAAGGTCTGTGGGTATGTTCGGGTGCACATGCACACACGTGTGCTTTTATTTTTACAATGAATCACTACAAAATTTGTGGAGTCCTTAAAAAAGCTTTATGATACACAGGGTAAATGAAAAAAGAGACAGACCACTTTTGAAGGAAAAAATACATGTAGATTCGAATCCCCTTAGTGTCTGTTTTAACTTGGACACGTATTTAATCTCTTCATATCTGTCCTTTTGTCTGTGACCTGTCCTTGTAGTCTCATAGCCTACACCTAGGCTGTCAATGGTTGTCCTATAGGAGGGCAAAGTGAGATTATTCAGTGTAATACCTGAGAAGTAGAAAGTGACTAATGTGTTAGTTGTTATACACTATAATCAAAGTCCTTGTATGGTTACTACCAAATACTGGTATGAGCCGAGTTTCTAAACATGAATACAAGAGCAGGGTATATACTATACTGAAGTTAGAAAACAACTTTACAAATAACCATATCTATTTGTGGGCAGGTGCCTTTATACATTACTTAAGTTTTGATTGACTGTTCTTAATATAAAGACTCAGTTACTTTTGTCTCTTCCTATTGCTATCATAATATTGGGATCTATTTTGAAAGCCCTTAGGCAGTGATCCTCTCCAAATTTCTGCAGTACTTACTTTAAGGTATACAATTTGATGGGTAGAAAGAGGGGAACTTTTACATCTTTCTCTATATGATTCTTGTGAGATCATGAGTAATTTTTTGTGCTTTAGTTATCCAAATAAAATTACTTTATGTTTGTACAAGTGAAATAATAATTGATATTAACCTGAGCTAAGAATAATTTTTTATTAAACATCCACCTTTTAAAAAGATCTTCTTATAAATTAATGTCAGAAAATATTTGGTTCAGCAGCTTGTGCTGATAGATTTCAATATACCAGCCTTGTGTGTGTCCAGCACCAAGGCCCTAACAAACTGTATCTGTTCTGTTTATGATACCTAATAAAGAGCAGTCAACCATGGTGATATTACCATACGCGATCACTGAACTGACACATAAATGTCTACCCATGTTGTTTTTAAAATTGAACAAACAGGTGGTTATTTGTCATTGAGGAAAGAAATGGACAAGTCACTGCATATCCATAATTTGCCTTTAATTTCAGTTATAGGTCTGCGGAAGATTTAAGGGTGTACCTGTTTTCTTTCCCCTCTTAATTAGCCTTATTTTTGTCCATCCATTCCTATGCAGAGGTTACTACATCATAATTGTGCCTTTGAAGAAATCTCGTGGGAAATTTATCAAGCCATGGGAGAGTCCTGATGAAATGGAATTAGATGAGGTAACTACGTCTTTGTTGGCTGTGTCTTTCATGAGTTGTTTAATTTATTAAATATCTTTCTCCTCCCTATGGAGGACTTTCAGCATATAATCCAGGTGTTGGCTTCTCCATGGCTGGCTGGTTGGATGGTTCAGTGCTATGGGCATGCTAACCTCTACGGATACCAACTGAGATCCTTTTCCTTTAATTAAAAGACATTAAGCTGTAATAAAGTGTACATCCTTTCTAATCTTTGTTGGCTTTAATATTTTGCCCCTTGCCCCTTATAAACCATGATGCAGAGGTTTAGAAGGTGAATTGTCAGCAAAGTCTTAATCACCACTGCTATCAATTCCAAGGGTGTGTGCTTCATTAGTGCAATGATTGCTAAGGCTGTTACAAACATTACCTTGCAAATTTCAGCACAGTTCTTTTTGACCTACTATATGGTCTTGACTAGTTTCTGACAAAATTCGGCTAATTAGCAAATGTTTGCCTTATTCTATATGGTATAGGTTTTCAGAACCAAAGGTATACTTAACTATAGAGAAAGAAAACAAATCACAAAATGTTGAAGACAGCAAGAAATACATATCAAAACCCAGCAAATACTGAATAAATAATATGATTATAATTTCCAAAATCTTACAACAGTAGGCACATTTTAATTGAAACTCTTATAAAAAGAGCATTTGTGTTTTTTTTAAGATAATCTATAATGTGAAGAATGAGATCTAATTGTCAAAAACTTCTATTTAGATAGAAAACTATGATCAAAAGTGTTGAAATACAGGAGAAACTTGGCTATTTTACTATGCTGCTATTTTGAATCAATTCATAAGGCAAATAACTAGGCCCCCATTTGGGGAAATAAGAGATTTTAACTTACCAGATTTATTTACAACATAGAAAACTATGATCAAAAGTGTTGAAATACAGGAGAAACTTGGCTATTTTACTATGCTGCTGTTTTGAATCAATTCATAAGGCAAATAACTAGGCCCCCATTTGGGGAAATAAGAGATTTTAACTTACCGGATTTATTTACAACCTAGGCACATCTCTAACACAACCTGTTATTTCTAGATATTCCCTCTACCTTAAATTAGTATGAACAGAACAAAGAAAAGAATAAATTCTCTATGCATTACAGAGAGGTGAATTTATTTTATACATGTCTGCATAAAGGAGACTGATTTGGCAAAATAAAAAGCTGTTAGCTTCCTTTGGCAGACATATGTTATCTCTCCAAGTGGGATTCATTGTCATCCACTTCATTTATCTGAGTTAAATTCGATCAAATTCAGAAGAAGAAATGAGTTCGAGATTAGGCCCATGCTTCTGTGTCACTGTTTAGTGATTAGATGATCACTGGAGGGGTGTAAAATGAGACATCATTTCAATAATGTTGTCAAGTAATTTAGATATGTTATCAATTTAATTTTTTTCTGTTGATAATAAAGGAACAAAATCATTATTCTATGATATTGGAAGAATAGTAATCCTTCAGCTGAGGATGCAAATGATCAGCTGGTTTTGAAAGCATTTTGAAACAAGACATGATTTTACTTGCAACTAACTAATCAGCTAATACTGAAATATTCATTAGTATTTTAATCACTTTTCAGTTGAATTACAGAATTGCCACCATCCTATTTTAGTTGGAATTGGATTTAAAATGCAAAGAGAACTTGTAGAATCTATTAATCTTTCCACCTATTAAAAAAAAAGTGTTTAAGGCATTGAGATCCAAGCAAAAATGACATCAAATACTTTTTTCCTTAGAAGTAAAACCATTTGATAATAAGTAATAGGAAGTGATTATCTTTTACAGCCAGGTTTTAACCTCCAAAATGCACAGCAGTGCTAATGGATTAAAGTATAGGGCTATATGACATTGAACTTTCTTACAATTAAATTCTACAGGTTTGTGCTGCTGATTCTCATAACAAAGGGTCATTTTAATCATCCCACAAGTTGTGGTGCATTAGTCTGTATAATAGTTTGATAAAGAACATTTTACTAATTCAAAATTTTGGGGTCAGGATGGGTTGTTTCCCACTTTTCCCACTGATATAATTGAAACCACATTGTGGAATTAATGGTGGAAGAAATAAGATATGCATTGACTGGAAAATGAAAATTATTTCTGATAGAGAACTAAAGCCCTTGATATATCTTCTGGAATTACCTCCAATACATCTTTTAACTATTGTGGAGGGGAATAAATGAAAGTAGCCTGTGGTCTCTCTTTATGCTTACTCATCCAGTTTCTGATCCCTACAGACAGGGTTTTTTTTTTTTCCCCCTAACACGGATAATAAAAGCATTGTAGTAATTTTATCTATAGCTTAGTACTGGCAGGTTTGACAAAGCAGTGTTCCTCTCTTAAATGTATTTGACCAAGTAATTTTTCAGAAAGGCCTATAATTCAAATTGTTGGAACCATATCGTCAAATAGAATGGTAGCCTAAGGGGATTTCCACATGTGTGCCTCGTATATAGGCCCATAAAAAATTGAAAGAAGCTTTCTAAACAGAGTTACTCTCAAAATTATCTTCTGAGCTCATTTATTCTTTGTCTGGGGATGCTCTTCACATGATAAATTCATAGACTGGTACTCCTTGTTGTCAAGGTCAGACTGGGCAGAGCAAATGTTGATAGTCAAAATGAATTTTGGGCAGAATGACTCCCAAAATGTTAGTTATATTTAATTCAGGGCAGGTTGTGTAATATATCATAAGCTTTTCACTGCATTGTACTTCAAAGGCTTGCCGTAAAATAATGTGGTCATTTGTGGTTGTAACTTTGACATACTGGCCAGCTTTGGTGTCATCTGAGCTCACTTGAACCATTTAAAGTATAAAGCAGGAAGCATTCTACAGACATTAGAGCTACCTAAAGAGGCAGGGGGATGTTCTAGGTTTGACCTTAATGAATGACCACATTGGATCTAAGGAGCACCAAAAAACTCAAATAACTTATTCTGAAGTACTTCCTCTAGGTCTTCCAAAGAAACCCCAGCAAAAAGTAGTTGTGGGAATGACAGTGACGTAGATGAGTTATGACTGCTGCCTCCATCTCAAATATGAATAAAATCAAGGTAGGGTTTGATCAGTGAAGCAGAAGAGGGGACACAGTCACATAAACAACTGATGGTAAATGTTTTTGATTAACCAACTTCAAAAAGCTGTTCAGCTCATCTGCAGTGTATTTCTCTCTCTCTCAAAGTAATGGGCTACCATCATTTATTGCATATTAACAAAAACCTTTGTAATGACTTTTCAAGCATAATATTTGGCATCAGAATGTTTATAAATTGGTATGCTAAAAGAATCCAGGAAAAGGAAATAACATATTCGTTTGTGTTAATGAAAGCAGATGCACAAAGATAATATGTCTAAGTACAAACCGAGTTAAACAGTTTAGATTATCAGAGCTTAAATATTGCATTTATATTTCCTTGATATTGTACAACCGTTAAGTAAATAAAAATATGGTTGAAAAAATCTCTTACATGTAATTTCATTTTATTTCACTAATGGAGTTTAATCGTACATTGCAAGTTTCTATTATGCCTCAGTTTCCCCATTTATAAAATGGGGATAATAGTCACCTCCCTAATGGGGTTATTATGAGTAATGAACAAACTAATGCATGTTTAGGTTCCCTAGAACAATGTCTGGCACCTAATAAGTGCTTAATACATGGTAACTATTATTATTATTATCACCATTATTATCATCATTATTATAAATAAAGCTAAATTGGACAACAGGACTGAAAAATAGTTATAAGTTTTTGGCCTTTCTCTTCTACTGGCCAATTGATGCATAATTGATTAGCCTACCAGAATTTAATATCAGATTGTTCAAATTTGCTAAACAAGGATACCCAATCTATAGTTTTTTATGAAATGGCTTACATATTATATAATTTTAATTGCATCACTAAATTCAATTTCACAGGAAATTTTAGAATATTATAAATTAAATATTCAAAAATAATATGGGCACAAATTATCTACATAACCAAAAGACTGAATTTTATATTTTTAGGGTACAAGTTTGAACCCACTGAGCACATTTACAACTCTCCATGTAGATAAGACCGTAATATACCATCAGCTTCCTAACAGAAGGATTCAGTATTTATCATATATACAATCTGTAGTCATTACTATCGCAAAAGTCTGGTCTTAATTATGGTAGGGTCTGATTGTACTAAGTAGATCATTTCCATTTACAAAAACAAAGCTAGTAGTTTTGCCTCAGTGTTTCCATAAGTACCTTAATTTTGCTTATCAAGATGAAAACAGGGTTCATTCCTTTTACCAGTTTGTCCTCAAATATGTCATCTTTTCTACACAATTATTAAAATACGTAAAATCAAGATTCTTTCCAAGAAACCAGTAAAAAATTGCTACTTAAAATCACAAGGTATCCCAGACTGATACAGGCCTTTTCCCTGTTAAATCCTATGAAATACCATTATCTAATGGGAGAAAGGAAAGTTAACTTGGACATCATTTTGAAAGCAATGGTCATGATATACATTAGTGTAATTTTCTCGTAATAAAATAATCAATACAAGACAGTAGATTATCTAAAAATAAATTCTACTTTATTTTAGAAATACATGAAAGATCTGTATATATGGGAGGTCTTCAAAAATTTCATGGAAAGATTCACATCTTTCAATTCTATTTTTCCATGAACTTTTTGAAGTACCCTTGTACATGTGTATGTTTGTTTTCTTCAGAGTAATATTAAAGTTAATTTTTACCTACCCTGCCTATATCACTTGGCAAGATATTCAGACTCTCCAAAGAGCTAGATTCTGGAAAAAGTTGACTTCATGATAAAATGTGAAGAATTGCACCCCAATGAGTTAATGAAGGAGCCAAGTCAAGTAAGAAGTTATTAAATGAGCAACAATGTCTATTTAATACATGTAACTTAAAATTTGATTATTACATTCTACTTCTGCTGATTGAGGGAATTGACATCACAAAGTATCTCGTTACTAAAAAGAATCTAAAATGGTACTAACCTCTCCTAAAATTTGATCATAGTTGAAGGTTTAAATGGTTTTAACTGAGGTTAGTACTTGCTTAATAAACTCCTGCAAGGTAATGCTTCTATGAATCAAGTGACTTCATGATAAAATGTGAAGAATTGCACCCCAATGAGTTAATGAAGGAGCCAAGTCAAGCAAGAAGTTATTAAATGAGCAACAATGTCTATTTAATACATGTAACTTAAAATTTGATTATTGCATTCTACTTCTGCTGATTGAGGGAATTAACATCACAAAGTATCTCGTTACTAAAAAGAATCTAAAATGGTACTAACCTCTCCTAAAATTTGGTCATAGTTGAAGGTTTAGATGGTTTTAACTGAGGTTAGTACTTGCTTAATAAACTCCTGCAAGGTAATGCTTCTATGAATCAAACTTTTATCCTTAGACAAGTTATGATGTACGGTTGCCCTTTGCAAGAATTTCATTAGTGGAGGAAATGATATGAGTTATCAGTAAAGGATCTAATTGCCCTGTGTTTACAGCCTGGGCTTTGCTGTAGCAGTCCAGTGTCTTACCTTACACAGGAAGACAAGCACTTGAATGACCTAGTGAATGGGGGTTTAATGATGCTGATGTGCTAT